TTTCTTTTGGGAAGTTCCTGCAATGTTGAGCATTGGATGCGAAATGTTGAGTGAGAATGACTTACTCTGTGAAGTCGCGCGAGACTGTCTAGACCTGGCCTGCCAGCATACTGTGACCATGAGCGAAAGAGCTCCCTACACTTATTCCTCACTGCAACATCAGACAGGTCAGATGTACCGCAAACACGTAGACGTTCAAGCAAGGGCTCATCCACAAAGGTTCGCTGGAACCTCTCGCCAGCGTTCTGGATGAGACCGTCAAGAATGACCAATGCACGGATCTGGCGGTGGACATTTCCGTATTTAAGCTTCTTTCGAATAGCTCGAGCTGCTTCACTGGGGCCCGTAGCTTGTAGGGTAATGACATCGACCAGCTCGGGGATACCGCTGAGATCTTCCTCTTCATATGATTCGGAGGTAAGGTTCTCGACGGTTACAGTTACCGCCGAGAACGGCTTTTTCTACAGGGACGTCAGTAAATACATTAATACAAGTTGGAGTTACTCTAGTGACATGTAAATAGCTCATGAGAGCTATCAACAGACGATGTCCGAATTGGGCGGAAACTGCTTGCTTAAAGGTCAGGGCGGAATGATCTTACCGATTGGAACATGCTCATGATGGGCTACACTGTCGTGGCTTAGGTATATGATCTGCAGCGTTGTAGCTCTGCGACGTAGGTTATCAAGTTCCACGATGATGCTATTTCAAGTGCGGTTGGTAGCTCTGGCAGCTTTGAGTGCCTGATGACTTGATAGTAGACAAAGCAGCGCGGGGCTAGCCAGGGGCAAGTCGACACGATCGCTGAGCTCGTTGCGCCGAGGAAGTGAATAGGTTCGAGGGGACCTGAGGTATAGTAGGTAAGTAAGTGGTGAGAAGTTTCAAATATCTCTTGTATCATGAGGTTCCTTGCCAGCCAGATAATGAATGGATGTCAATAAGGTACCTTAGGTTGGTACTTTAGTCAGGCGCTCACTCGTTCCTGCTGTGCCCGGCTCAGGTATGGTGGGGTTGTTGTTCTGTTGCTTGGTAGCGGGACGTGAGGGGGGCTCCTTCTCAGTTTCTGTGGGGTTCTGTCGTCACTCGTCAAGGTGGGAGCCTGGGAGGAAGTCGTGGTAGGTTGCCTCTAGTACTTAGCCGAAAAAGGGTCTTTACAGGTCCAATTAGAGTGGGACAAGGTTCTGTGATAGGTTATGAAACGAATATCAAACTTATTGAAGGATCATTGGTATTGCGTGGAAAATCTGACCAAGACGAGTTCAGTACAGACTCATCGTATCACAACGGTACTGTAGCTTGAGATTGTGTCATACCTCTGGTACATCAAGTTCTGGGGGCCTGGTGGAATGAGATATCTCTAGAGTTTGCAGGATGGCGGACAAGGTTCGAGCAAAGACCTTTGTAAGGGCGAATGTTACGAACAGCTTAATAGTTTTCTAGCAGTCCGCCCTTAAACTTGGCTTTATGACTACCTAGCTATGTATGAGTGAGTCAATGAAGAGGCTTGCTCTAAGCTTTGCTGATGAACATCTGTCTAGGACCTTATGACTGTGAGCATGCTTTAGTGTTTCTGTTCAAAGACCTGGCAGTAAAGCTGAAGGAGTTGCACCAGTTGCAACCGAGCATAATACATTACGATGGGATGTTTCCCACTGAACTAGTGGAACTCATGATGCCCATCCTCTCGGCATCAATGTAGACATCGTTAGGATTGACTTTGACAAGCCCTAAACACGAGAGAGTGGCATTTTCCGAAGAACCCCCAAAGATAGTTTATGCCATGACTCCTACATAGAAAATGACTCAGACAACATTCAGATTCCTATAATACAGCTCCATCTGTGAACATAGGTAAGTACCTAGTGCCTTATACATTATCTACCTATACCTAAGAAAGTCCTTGCCGCCTAACTCTGGTTACCCTAGACCTTCCAATCACCCCGCCCCCGCCATCGCACCTCAGCTACGAATTTTGACTGTCAAAGGCGTTATCGCAGCTCTGTGACTCACAAACAGACAAAGACAACCAACACCAAACCTCTCATCAATCATCACGAGCATTCGTAGAGTGATTGATATACCAGATCGCCGAAAATGGCTTCAAAAGCACCCGTTCTGCCCCAGGAGGGTAAGCGCAACATTCTAATCACCAGTGCCCTTCCCTACGTCAACAACATTCCGCATCTGGGCAACATCATCGGCAGTGTTCTTTCCGCCGATGTATTTTCTCGCTATTGCAGAGCGCGAGGCTGGAACACCATCTACGTTTGTGGCTCCGACGAGTACGGTACTGCTACCGAGACAAAGGCCCTCGAGGAAGGTCTTTCGCCCGCCGACCTTTGCGCCAAGTATCACGCCCTTCACAAGGGCGTCTACGATTGGTTCCGAATTGACTTCGACATCTTCGGCCGAACACCCACTCAACAACAGACGCAGATTGTGCAGCAGATCTTCAAGGAGCTCTGGAAGAATGGTTATATTGAGGAGCGAGAGACTACTCAACCTTTTTGCTCGGACCCTGCCCATGGCAAGTTCCTCGCAGATCGATTCGTCGAAGGAGAATGCAGCATTTGCCATGATCTCGGAGCCCGTGGAGATCAATGCGATGCCTGCGGTAGTCTTCTCGACCCATTTGAGCCCGAGCGCGAGCCCAGCACCTCTGATGATGACCATGTCGAAGCGAAAGCGACTGGTTTCCTGATCAACCCCCGCTGCAAGGTCGATGGAACCACCCCCGAGAAGCGAAAGACGAAGCACCTTTTCCTTCGTCTAGATGCAGTTAAGGACTTGCTCGTTCCCTGGTTCCACAAGAGCAGCAAGGAGGGAGATTGGAGCACAAATTGTATTTCTATCACCCAGTCATGGATCGACAAGGGACTCCTTCCCCGTGGTATCACTCGAGACCTCAAGTGGGGTGTTCCTATTCCTAGGGATCTCGAAGGCTTGAGTAACGAGGAGTATGCAGAGAAGGTCTTCTATGTTTGGTTCGATGCTTGCATTGGCTACGTCTCTATCACCAAGAATTTGGTCGATGGCGATAACTTGGATGGCACGAACTGGGAGAAGTGGTGGAAGAACCCTGAGAACGTCAAGCTCTACCAGTTCATGGGCAAGGACAACGTGCCGTAAGTGGCCTTTTTCAGAACCCCACATGATATGATGAGACGGTGCTGACAATTCATTAGATTCCACACTATCATCTTCCCTGCCTCTCAACTTGGAACGGGAGAAAACTGGACCAAGGTTCACAAGATGTCGACAACCGAGTATCTCAACTATGAGGGCGGAAAGTTCAGCAAGTCCCGCGGCGTTGGAGTGTTTGGAAACACTGCTAAAGAGACTGGCGTTGATCCTGATGTTTGGCGATACTACCTTCTGTCCAGACGACCCGAGTCCGCTGACTCTGAGTTCAAATGGCAAGAGTTCATTGACTGCAACAACAACGATCTTCTCAAGAACCTTGGTAACTTGAACCAACGAATCCTCAAGTTCACTCATACCAAGTTGGATGGCGTCGTTCCTGACTACACAAAATACACCGACGAGCGGCTAGAGGAGCATAAGAAGGAAGTGAACGAGGCCCTCAAGACCTTTATCTCACAGTTCGACGCCATCAAGCTCCGCGCTGGCCTCGCCACTGTTATGCAAATCTCCGCCCTTGGTAATAAACTTCTGCAGGACAGCAAGCTGAACAACCAGCTTCTGGCCGATGAGCCAGACCGTTGCGCTGCTGTAATCGGTCTCGGTATCAACCATCTCCAGCTCCTTGCAAGCATCGTTCATCCTTACATGCCCTCCACTTCCGAGGCCATCCTGGAGCAGATCGGCAGCCCTGGCTTGATCTCCATTCCTGAGACATGGTCAGGAGACCTCGTCAAGCCCGGCCAAAAGATCGGCGAGCCCAAGCTTCTCTTCACACAGATCCCCGCGTCTAAGCTTGATGAGTGGCGTGAGGCCTTTGGTGGTGAGGAGATCCGAAAGCAAAAGGCCCTCGAAGCGGAGAAGGCGGCGGCGAAGAAGGCAGCTAAGGACAAAAAGAAGCAAAAGAAGCTCGCTCTTCGTCAAGCTGAGAAGACAGGAGAAGCTTCTACCGAGGAGAAGCCTGCCGAGGAGAAGCCTGCCGAGGAGAAGAAGCCTGTTGAGGCCTCTGCTGTTGACTTGCTCCCCGATAACAAGCCCTCTGAGACATAAATGCATGTACACCAGGGTGAATCGGAGTTGGCGTTAGCAAAAGAAATTGACTGGGCATGGGCGGTGCATGAGGAGTAGCGTAGAAACGAACATAGGTTGCCGAGCTTATTTTGAAGGGTTGCCGAACTGTAGAGTAGATTGTTAAATCAACTTACAATGAATGACTAGATCATGAGCTAGATGGCTGTTGGATCTAATGTACAGTATGTTTTAAGTTTAGGTATATCGAGTTTCTCTTCAGACTCTATCCTGCACTTTTCAGGAGTTCAAGGTAGTATGTCGGCCAATCCTCTCATCAGACACACAAACGAGAAGATAGCTTCCCTGTCATCCAATCCAGAGAAACTAGGCCATAACGCAGAAATGCTTCAAATCAAAAAGTTCAGATGAGGGCCACGCGTGGGTCTGCAGACGTGGTGTCTAAAGGGGGAACAGTTGCTATCCGTTTTGAGGAGTGGAGAAAAAGTCGTCCAAGTATATTGGCCTTGGTTGCGAATGCTCAGTTTGGTATTGTTCTATAAATCAAATGCAATCCTTTATGCCTTTCGACGATTTTATGTCGGCAAGGACGTGGTATCTGTATGTTTAACCCGAAAACTCCTTAAGCCTGTTGAGAGGCACCTGGCCTGTTGAAAGGCGTAGCTTTCTGTATCGACTTGGTGTGTATTGTACACTGTTCGACTAGATGGAGCTGTCTGGCAGTCTCCGTTCGTTTTTGCGGCCCCGATAACGTTTCATAAGGCGCTGGTATGCTGTCTTGTGACTCTTATTGTCGTTTACTTGGGAGAGTTTAGACAGACTTTGGGAGCTTAGTTGGACTTCTTTCCAGCAGCACGCTCACGCTCACGCTTGGCGTAGATTTCAGAAGTGAACGGGTCCTCAAATTTCAGAGCGATCCTGTAGACAACATCGACCCACAATGTGAGCAGGATACCGGCAGGCTTGCCATACCACATGGCGGTAGCGAGGAAGCTGCAGGTAGAGCCAGTGTACATGGGAGAGCCGGTCACGTTGAAGGGAAAGCCAGTCACCATCTCGTCCATGAGAATGCCAAAGTAGTCACCGAGGAAAGTGCCAGTAATGCCTAGTCGCCATGTTGAAGAGACGACCAGGACGTTACCAACAATAAACAGAGCAACAGCAGCGGCCTGGATGAAGTCGTTGACAAGAGCGGGATGCGTGGGTTGCTCGGCGATGGCAGTCTTGAAAATAAAGTCGCGAATCATACCAAGAGAGAAGATAGTGGCAGCAAGGGCATAACAGGCAAGTTGGGAGTTACCGCCGAAAATCTTGGTCAGAAGTTTGTTGTGGTATTCTTTCAGCGATCAAGTTAGTCGAGGATGAATCGTATATTATAGCTGCAAGCTGCATACCTTGACGGGCGACGATGCTAGAAAAGAGGAAGAGTTAGTGATTGATGATAGAACGTCACATTGGGGCTTGCAACTCACTTCCAGAAGAGAGGGTTGAAGGCGATGGAGGCAGCAGAGACTGGAAGAAGCAAAGAGCTTGAGTCAGATTCAAGTAATCGTTTGGTAGATAGTGACTTGCTCAAGTCAAGTTGGTATATACTCACTGTACAAGCTCTGCTTATCATAGTCGACATATTCGACAAAGTCTTTCAAACCAAGAGCCATGATGACAGCTGGGTAACCAAGACAAATAGGCACGAAGAGTAAGGTAAAGTGAAGTAATGGCAAAAGTCGTGATCACTGACGTAACAAGTTCACGAAAGAGTCACAGAAGGGACAGGTTCAAAGAAGACTGCAGACGATTTGCAATTTTGCTGTTGAGAGGATAAACTGTTGAGATATTAGAAGAAACAGGAAATAGAATTAAAGAGAGAGTTTGGAGAAGGACAGCTTGGAGAGCTAGGGTACGTCCCTCAGGTACCTACCTTCCTGTAGCTGTCCTAACTGAGGTACCTTAGGTAGGTAGGCTGTCACATGGAAGAGAGTGGAAAGCGGAAGAGGAGAGAGTCCGGCCCGCGTCATAATGAGAGGAGCCCGGAATTAGTGGAGAGCCACCGTTCCGTTCAGAAGAGGGTCAACTGGGGGAGAGAGCCCTGGAGCTTTTGATCCACCATCCACAAACCAAGCAAAGCATCGATCCAATCCATGGAACCTGACCAAACGGAAGATCCCTGCAGTGCAGCCGGGAAATCGAGGCAAGCAACCCAATCTGCCGAATTCAAACTTACCTATACCGAGAGAAAGCCTCATTAAGTCACCCAGGACCAGGACCAGGACCATGGCCATGACCACAACAGGCAGATATCGAATCTCATCTCATCTCATCTCATCTCATGGGTATGACCACTAACTACCTAACTGACTAGACTATATGCTTCAATATTCACATCTATCGATGCTTGTAACAATACGCTTACTGCGGTTGGCATCAAGGCCTATCTCGCGGGTTTTCCAAACGCCAGCCTTAAAACGCCCAAAGCAAAAACCCCAACAAGTCAAGTTCAGTCATCATCATCCATCAAAAAAAGAACACAGAAACCAGCAGCTATTGACGTCGGTTTCTCGTCTTTTTACCAGTCGTCTGCACATCTTCTTCCTCTTCATCCTGCCCCTTTTTGAGGTCTTCTGTGAGACCCCATTCCTCCTTGTCGTACCAATCTTCCCCGTCCGACATGTCTCGGTTAAGCCCTGAATGAGCTTCTGCCTTGGACCAGTGGAGTACATTCTTCCGCATCTGCTCGGCTTTGAGGAGTCCTAGAAACAGCTTCTTTGCCCCTCTACACACCTCTTCTTGCTTTTGCACGTAGAGAGCAAGCAACCGTCGAATATCTTCCGCTTCTTGGTCTGGCAAGCCGATATCCCGATCTGGTCTTGCTCCTGAAGGCGCAAGAAACATGGGATGTATGAAGTCATCGTCCCCATCGGAGATCATGAACACATCTGCACCTATTGTCTCAGCCGATTCCGTTTGTTGATGTGCGTCGCTGCCTGAAGGTTTCGCAGTGGCCTCAGCTCTGGTTGCCTCCATCTCATTCGTCCCTTGTTCGTTTGTATGCTCGTTAACCCCGTTTGTCGCTTCACCCACGAAATCTTTTTTATCGGTCTGTGCAGCTGGTACTTGCTCGCCATTGGGCATATTTGAAGCCGTTCCAGCACCGTCCTTCTCGGCCTCAACCTTTGTGTTCTCGTCGGCATCCTCTACGAGAGAATCATCTGGGTCGGCAGTTCCAGCGTCCGTCATGGTTATATCGGCATCCTCTGCTGGATCCTTGTCCGTGGGCTCGCCATCGAAAGTTGTGTCTGGTACAGCATTTACTTGTTCGACACCGTTGCCTTGTTGTAAGTCGCCGTTGGTGATTCTGGGAAGTGCCGATACTGCCTGGGAAAGCGCCAACAGATGTTGCGCCGTGTGGTTGTCTGTATAGAGCTCAACATCTGCCGGCCTAACCATCATCTCGCATGGGATCCATGTGTAGTCGCCGCAGAGCGATGTCAGGAGATGCCTGACTCTCCACAGAGACCGGTTCTCCTTGCGCATTATGTCGCAACTTTGATCAACAAGTCGAGTCAGGGTTTTGGACGTGAAGGGCTTCGATAGGGTCGGGTGTGTCGGTAACGCAGTTGATGCAGTAAGTGGAGCAAGGATATCTACTCCTGTTAGCCCTGTTATTCAAATGCGTGATTGTTGACCTACTCTCTATTTGTATGTTGGCGTAAGGGTTCATCTCTGCCGCTGAGGCCTCTGCTTCTTGAACGCGCTCCTCATCTTCGTCGTCGCTATCTATTTCGTATCCTTCCTCGTCGACTAATGGGGGATTGCGATATAGGATCGAGCGTCGGACACCACCATATTCGACGTACTAGCAGAAGTCAGAAACTGGCCTGGGAAGATTTGCCAAAACAACGAACCTCTTTATACGAACTTGGACCATTATTTGGGACCAATTGCCCTTGACGGGCAAACCGTGCCTGCTTTTTGAGCTTATGGCCGCGATTGCTATAGCTTTCGATCTCGGAGTCTGAGTCGGATTCTGTTGGGTCGATGGTTAGCTGTCAACCCCTACATCGCGACAAGCGCAATGAGATTTCCGTACCATATGATTTCCTTTTGAATGCCTTCTTCATACCCGCTATGGTTTCGGCAAAGAGAATTTGTTGCGACGCCATGGCAGACAGAGGGTGGAATGAAATGTCGAATCGATGGGAGTTGTGGGCGAAGCGGCGAGGGAGCGCAGGCCTTTTGGGCGCGTCCAGAGAGGAAAAAAGACGCTCGAATGTTGTTGGTAGCCCTCTAGTATAAGGCTGAGTCTCGATCCGTGAAAAAAAAGTCGTGTTGACGTAGGAAAGCTAACAATAAGCAAATTTGGACCGACTGTGCTGGGACGACGAGGAGAAGCTGGAACGAGAAGCGAGGCTGCCCGCCTTCCCGTAGCCCATGACCACATTTCCGGGCGCAGACTAATCTGATTGGTCATTGCGCGGATGATAAAAAAGCCGGTGCCGGATAAAGCAATCCCTGACCGTTTACGATAAGAGATAAGCCCAATCTATGGCTCTCATTCATGCTTCATTGCTGTATTGGGTTTTTTTTTTTTTTTTTTTTTTTTTTTTTCAAGATTCGCAGCTTGGCTCGACCTATTCTACCCAACTCACGTGGATTGCATGAACTCATGCCACTAATTGCTCGAAAGAATCAAAGTACTATCCTTTAAGTCAATTGACTGCACCAGAGGGAGTTCCAACAACAAAAATGTCACCATCTGCAATACGTCAACATCATGCAAGCAATTATGACTCGGTGCCAGGCACGTCAACGCCACAGTATACTGTGCAACGTTGTATGACTGCAGGGATGTGATGAACTCAATTGGGGAAAACAAATAAATTGACAAGCCCTGTTGCGGGATTGGGTGTTTAATCTAAAAGGATCTACGAAACTGTGACAGTCACGTTGCCTTTGAAGTTCTCGCTCGAGTTTCCTACAAAGACAGTGAAATCACCAGGCTCCACGACATACTTCATCTTGCGGTTCCATAGACCCCAGTCCTCAACCTTGAGATCAATCTTGACCGTCTGGGTCTTGCCAGCCTTGACGGCGACCTTCTTGAAACCCTTGAGCTGATATCGCGCAACATCGACAGAGGCAAGCATGTCCTTGACATATAACTGCACGACCTCAGAGCCGTCGCGCTTGGACTTGTTGCTTACGTCAACGGAAACGGTGACAGTGTCGGTCGCTGTGACATTCTTCTTGGAGACGGAGATGTTGGAGAAATCGAACTTGCTGTATGACAAGCCATAGCCGAATGTGTAGAGGGCCCCGGGGTTCTCAAGGACGTAGTTGCTACCAAACTTAAGGGTACCGTTCTCATAAATCTTACCAGGGTTTGGCCAGGCTCGCGCAGAGTTGAGATAGTCGTAATAGATAGGCGTGGTGCCGACATCGTAGGGGAAGCTGACGGAGAGCTTGCCCGAGGGATTGACGTTGCCATACAGAATATCAGCCAGAGCATGACCACCTTCCTGAGACTGGTAAAACTGCTGAATAAGAGCAGAAGCCTCCTCTGAAATCCATGGCTCTGTGATAGGCTTTCCGGAACTGTACACCACAACGGTGGGCTTCCCAGTCTCGATGATGGTCTTGACGAGCTTGGGCATGGCACCGATGAGATTCAAGTTGCTCACATCTATGTGCTCTCCTGTTGTGGCGTTCATACCAGCCCATAACTCGTTCTGATCTCGAGACCACGTTCCGACGACTACGACGGCGACATCAGCGGCCTCGGCGGCGGCGACAGCCTCTTTGAAGCCAGACTCGTCTGTGGACCAGCGCTCGCAACCTTGAGTGAAAGTCACTTTGCCTTTGCTAGCGGCCTTGATGCCATCGTAGGGAGTAACTCCTCGGGTCATGGCTGTGTGAATGACATAGTCACCGTACTGGTTGTTGAGTTAGTAATGGTGGTTCACGAGGAACATAGTCAGAAAATACCCACATTGACATAGCCGTGGGCCATGGGACCGATGACAGCAACATTGGCGTCTTTCTTCAGGGGCAGAATATCCTCATGGTTCTCCAGAAGAACGATACTCTCAGCATCAAGTTGGCGTGCAACCTTCTTGTGGGCCTTGGTGTTGACATAGTCCCAGATCTTATCATCTGCGACGCCAGTGAAGGGCTTCTCAAAAAGACCCATCTCGAATTTGGAGCGAAGAACACGGGATACAGCGGTGTCGACGACCTTTTCGTCAAGCTTACCAGCTTTGACGAGCTCAGGGATGATCTCAAAACTCCAGTAGCCACCACCCATTTCAGCATCGTTACCAGCGGGTAGAGTCTACACAAGTCAATATGTTACTTGGTGAGGGCTTGGCTTGGGGGGACTTACCTCAAGAGTGATGCATTCATCATCCTCAACAGGACAGACGTAGAAGGCCTGAGCAAGACGAGCAGTACCACCAGCATCGGAGATAACGTAGTACTTGTAACCCCACTCTTCTCGAAGGATGCCAGTGAGGAGGTAAGAGTCTGAGACGACTGGAACACCATCGTAAGAGTTGTAGGAGGACATTATCGAAGTTGCGCCTCCATCGATGATGGCTCGCTTGAAGGGAGGGAGATAGAGAGACCGCAGCTCTCGCTCACCACCGTGGACTGGGCCAGTGTT